TATGTCTTGTGTGCTAATCAAGCTCGTAAGAAAAGCAGCAAATAAGTGCCTAGCATCAATAAATATTCGTGAAGTTATATCTTGAATAAAAGTGATTAACTAAATCAATTTTGCCAGACAACTTTATAAGAAATTGAAACTTTTTACCAATGGTAGATTTAGTTATCAATTGCATTTATTGATTTATGGTCGTGATAACCGGTTTAGTTTGAGGACCACTTAACTCACGTCTAGACAGACATATTTTTGCTTCGTATTTTTCAATAATGTTAGATTTTAAGAAAATAGGTATGCATACTTATTACCGAAAATTATCTTCTGCCTTTTACCTTAGTTACAGAGTGTACTTATAAAATATATCGAAATACGGTTTGTGCTATTTGAAGTTTTTTTATTACTGAATTTCCTAAAGAAATTAATTTTGCTATTAGAAAAATAATTAGGTAATTAGGTGGTCATAATAATTGAACCATTTTGCTATTACAAAAAAAAAATGCAGTTCCTGATTATTTAAGCCTTATAGATGCCGTGAGTTAATACAGGAAGGAAGATAGTTTTGATAAATATCGAACTAAAACTATTTCTATGTTTGTGTTTATTAAATCTAAATTCAAGTAGGCACCTCTTAAACATTTTAATCCTTGTTTGTTTATTGTATCTAGTGTTTTGCAAATATTAGTTATGTTTTATTTCAGAGCGTTTTCTGTGTACACCTCTAGCGACTAATGTTGCAATTAATCTGGCGTACACCAGGGGCTCAATTCTCGAGTTCATTGGAAAATTTTCCCATGGGAAAAGATTACACTACTTATATTCCCATGGTAATAGGTTATGCAATTCTCGAACTTGTCGGAATAGACATTCCCATGGAAATAATAGTTTCACGTATGTCTGATATTAAGTTCACGAATATTTCGAAATAACCAATAACATTAAAGATATTTTAAAATTTACTGTTGGCATTATTTGTATTTGTTATGGTTTTTGGGTAACCGATTACCTGCCGAGCCTCTGCGCTGGAGCAGATGCCGTGCCGAGCAATCGCTCGCATGACCGAGGACAAGTGAACATATTCGATTATGTATAATTAAAACTTATCGAGTTATTTTTAGTTTTTCTTTTCACATGTTGAAAAAAGAAAAAGTAGCTTTTGTATGGAAGAGCAACGAAAGTTTCGAGAAACTAAGAAATTCTTTCGTTAACGGAAATAATAAAATTTTCGAAAAGGTCTTATTAAATTTACTACAAATTTCTCAATTTGTGTTACCTATTTGCCAGTCCCTTAGCAGCTCCCACAATTTCTAACTAATTTAAGAAAATCAGTTTCTTAGTGAAAGGTAAAAATAATATACCCACATAAATAAAATAATATCAATCTATAAATACACCAAAAAAATGTTTTAACTACAATTTCACCAAAAATCCAAGATATCCAATAATCTTTGGTTATGTCTTAGTCTTTCGCGTAGTCTTCCGTCAAATTTTCGACTTTAATGCGCAAACTCTAGTACAATTCCCATTGGAAAACACAATTTCCAATGCTCGTAAGCAGGGGAATATTTTCCCATACTTCTCATTGGAAAATATTCCACCGCTTATGCCGAGAATACGAAAACTGAATTCCCATGGGAAAATTTTATTTTCCCATGGGAATAAAAGTCGAGAATCGACCCCCTGGTGTTGGTTTTGAAACATGCAAACTATTTTTTTTTTTGTGTGTTCATATTATAACGGGTGGCGTTGAAAGTTACTCTTTTGATACAAACAATTTTTTGTGCTAATCTTTTACTTTTACTATGCTAATTTATTTATTTGGGTATACATATTGTGTTTAGTTTGAATTTACCTTTGCTTTGTTCAGTATACCCAAAATTCTAACATTTATTACCATTTTTAGATGTCCATTTAAATTGTTGACTTTAATTAATTGTAAATAAACTCGTTATCAAAACTAATGTGTTTTAGTGAGACCAGCACACAGTTCACAGATGGCTTTGCTTACTGATAAATATGATAGCTCTCCAATTTTTTTTGTTGCACTATTAATTTTTTAAAATTTTCTGGTGACGAATAATATACAATTTAATGATTAATTTGCTTTTCGCATAGTTTCGTAGTTTTTGGAATTTTTCCTTTATAAAAATTTCTGGCGTCCAAAATAAGTAAATATTTTGTAAACATCTACCTTGAGACTCACGACTGGCCCCCCACCCCGTTCGCATTATGTCTTAACTGGCTATCGTTGTGGTTTAATTTCGAGTATTAGCGATACTGTTACTCAGTACCGTATCAAGATTATTTAGAATAATATCGTATCGTCAAGTAAAGATGTAACAGTGTTGATTTAATGTAATTAGTATTAACAATTTAATTTAATATTAGAGGTTTTTAGATTTGTTTAAGGTTTTTGTTTATCATTGTTTTCTTAGTCTTATATAATTTTATATTTCATCGATTTTCCATTATTTTTTAATATTTGAAAAAAATGTCTAGCCCGGGTATAGTTAAGTATTCTCTCGGGAGAGTATTCTCTTGTTCAGCTCCTAATTGTTTAAATAAGTATTATTTTAATATTCAGCAAGCTGAATATTCAAATAAAACATTTTTTCATTTTCCTTCCGATATTAAAATTTGACAGAACTAGTTTAAGAATAATAATACTCTATGTTTCTGAAGACCATTTTTTGTTAGTCTTTTAGTAATGTTTCCTTAAAACGTAAACTGCTAGTTGGACATTATGTACCAATTTTATTAGATAATTGTGCATCCAGTTCAAATATACAACCCGAGAGTCAGATTTTAGAATATGTTTACGGCATAAGATATTTGCTAAACCGCAACGAACAATTGGAACAAACCTTCAAACGAAGAAAAACTGTTTTGCAACAATAAATAAATAAGTCAGAAATTTAAGTCCAGAAGTAAAAAGCTGCATTTTATTAATATTTGATAAAGCAAATTACTCAATAAGACATATGTACACTTTTTGTTTTGTTTTCATAAAAAAAAACCCTGACACCCAACAAAATATGGTCCATTTTAGCAAGAATGGGGGAGACTACCCACTATTTATTTCACTTAAAATTATTATTCAATATTGAGCTCAAAGGGTATGTATATATATTAAATAATTAAAATATGTTTCAAATATTTTCATATTCATTTAAATATTTTTTGCTTCTATTTTTTGGGGTCTTATTACTTAAAAAAACTAATATTTATGATAAATACAATATTTTGATGTAAATATTAGTTTTATTTTTAAGTAATAAATGCCAAAAAATTTAAATTAATAAGAAATGATATTTGCAATTAACATTATTTTTCTTTTATTTATCTCTTTCTTATTTAGGCTCTAACTGGCAAGTCAATCAGCCATTGTAGTTAAAAAAATCCGTTCCATACTAATTTGCAGCACTATACGTTTCAAAAGATTAACACGGAATCCGATCTTCTTTATTAACTTATCTATGAGTATTCACTTCAACATACGAAAAGCAGTACCAAAGGTTAGATCTTTCCAGCACTGTAGAATAACGATAGTACCATAATAACCAACCTTCATTTTTCATAAACTATTAAATTACTTTTAGAAGGTGTGATAGTTTGTTATTATTTTTAAAAGTTTTCTATTACAAAAGTTCACTAAGTCTTGTGATGTTAATTCTAATTATAAAAATTAATACATATTATGATTAATAGGCAATATCTTACGTTATGTTTGATTTATTTATTTATTTTTCTTTTGTCTAGTTTGGGCAAGATCTGATGTAGTTTTTCAAAGGTAAACTTGCCCTTTTCTAAACATTTATGATAATTAGTTTCCGATTTAACTTTGACGCTTAAAGAAAAAATAATATTATGTTACTCGGAGTAGAAATATCTTGTGTTTCGCCCAGTGTGCACATCCTCAGCTGTGACAAGCATCTGGACTCAATGAAGTTCGTCCTCTACTCCTAATAACTTAATATACTATAATTTTATTACAAGTAACAGTAGACATACGATAATTATAAGGTGAGGTCAATGTATTTTAAATTGAACAGTTTTTAATAGAAAGAAAATGAATATTGAAAAAACAGATGTATTAAGGGTGAAAAAATTATTAATATTTGAGATACCATAATACATCCATTACGGAATAGCTACACTGATAAACATTTAAAATTAAAAGGGTCACTATGTCTAAATAATATTAAAATTGATTAATTTAAAAACGAGGGAGAGGAGAGGAACCAAATAAAAATTAATTAACCCCATAGAACTTAAGAGTACCTATAATGACCTCTATTTAATACAGGTTCAACAATAATAGTTGACAATCGGATCTACAATAATGATTACTGAGAAGTATAGATGGCAGTGTGAATAACTATTTAAGAATTATGACATACATGATGAAATTATTTAATGAATTAGTAAATATGTTATAATATAATGAAAACACTAATAAAATTATAATTATATTATAATATAGATATACTCGAAAAGAAAATTAATGTTACAGGAAATGGACTGTGGTGATTTTTAAGGATCAACAGTTGGTAGAAAGAAGGGGATGATACTCAAATTTATGTAATTGGGAGAAACTATTTTGAAAATACACGGCACGTGGGTAAGATTAAAGTCGAATTATAAAAGGTAAACCTATTTTAATAAGGAGCAAGAATGCTAATAAATTGGTAAATTGACAAATAATATGAGTAAAAAAATAAAGGATTAGATGAAAAATATTTTATTATGAGTGCCGAAAAGGTAGTGTCACTAATAAATTGAATTTGGGCATTAAACGACATTCGTAATTTTGTTAACGCCCGTACAGTTTGATATCAGCAGTATCAGCCCGGTACCTCCTGCTCATCAAGTAAACCCTACCAGCGGCATAACTCATTCTGATTTTCTTTATTTTGGTCCAGCGAATAACTTTACTAGAAGTATATACAAGGTAAAGTATATCTACAAATTAATTCTAAAATTAATAAAAATAAAAAAACGCTTACGTATATGATGTCCGCTGGCTTCTTCCTTCATTTCTAGAAATTCTTCTGCAAAAAAAGGTTTATTTCTTAGACCACAAATGACATATACATAATTATTGTTTAATCTTTGTTGTACCATTCTTTGCCACATACAGTATAACTAAGGCATTTGCTTTTGGATTAATGCTGCACATCCAATAATTTTACTATTAGATACTTATTATTAACATTATTAATTTTAAACACTCCTTAAAACTCTGATCTGATTAGAATTATTTGCTGGCCTATTTTTTATATGACGAGAAAAAATTATTTGCGTAAAAATAAGATAAAACAAATGAAAGACTACCTTTATTTATTCTTTGAATTTCGTTTACTGTTTTATATTTTAAACGATGTTCCCTTTAATATTCACCAGTGTTTATTTCTGAATAGTGAGCCGCGAGACAAGATGAGACAAGAGAGTGGCCTCTCTCGTTTCGTCTCGTAGGGCGAGAGAAAACTGTTCTCTCGTCTCGACGAGAAAAGGCTCTTCTCTCGCTCGAGAGAGCCTTTCTCTCGTCTTGTCTCGTCTCGTTTCTCTCGTGATAAATCACTATTTATAAAATCCTAATAACACATGTATCATTTGTTACCATTTAATATATATAGAAAAGATGTGTTATAGTTAACTTTTTGACTATCTCGAAATCAAATATGTTATTATTTTAAGTTACGATAAGCAATTGAAAATTTCAAATAAGCAAAGAGAAAATTATTCGAGAGAGTCCGAGAGAGCTCGAGAGAAACGAGAAATTCTCGTCTAGAGAAGACACTCTCTCGTCTCGTATCTGTTTTCGGGAGAAAATGTCTCTCTCGCCTCGTTCGAGACGAGACAAGACGAGACGAGAAACGAGAATCTCTTGTCTCGCGGCATCACTATTTTTGAATCATTTTTTCTTTTTCTATTTGTCATTTAATTTCAAATGAATTCACAAAATTACATAATATTGGTTTTATACTTCTTTAATTAACTTACTTTGTCGGACATTCTTTAATTTTAGCTATTTTGTTGCTATGGCGGTGTCGAAAAATATCTGAATAAATTCCAGGCAACGGTAAGTAGAGTGAATCTTTTCGAAGTGATAAAAAGTAGTTACGAAATTTATCTCAAAACTTATGTTACATACGTAATTATCCCAATATAAACGATGTCAAGAATATGGGCATACTAATTGGCAGAACTATTGCAAAAGGGAACTCAAATATGCCAAAAGCGCTGGAAAATACTCAACCCAAGATTCTAAAAAACACAACACCTAAGTGCATACACTGTGAAGGAAAGCACCCAGCTAATCAAAGAGGTTGTACCACTGTAAAACCTTTGCAGAGCATAAGAAACAAAACTACAAATCAGAAGGACACGGGTAATCGAGTAAACCAAGAAAGTCTAGGGAAAACTGTAAGAAGACAACAAACATTAATGGCGGCTGGTATACCTTACGCCAAGCAGCAAGTAATAAAATACAAGCGACAGTAATGAGAAGTAGTACCTACTGATTCTATGCCTTCAATGCTGCAAAAAATAATGATTCAAATGGATAAACAGGAAGAATTTAACAAAAAAATTCTAGAAATACTGGACAGGCTATAAAATAAAAATAAAAGGCAAAATGACTCCTAACCTTAGGATTCCCGAATAAAACACAAATGGATTCTTACTATACCCAGCTAGAGTTATTAGTGACACAGCATTTGGATGTGAATATATACCTAATTGCAGAAACACATTTCACGAACCAATCGCACGTCACATTAAAAGGATATCAGATCTATATTGCCATTCATCCAAACAATTTTGTGGAGCTTCTATTATTATTAAAAATAACATGCTTTGCTTAGCCAATATGAATAATTTAGAGGATATTAACTGGTATGCGAAATACAAAACATGAAAAAAAATTATTGAACAACTTAAGAACATGTTCATTTAAAAAGTAATAATTATTTAATCCCACGGTGTTTCTGGTATTATAAAAATTTTGTAAATACTATCAAGCACGTAAATTGTAATTATTTATTAGTAATTATCCTTGTAATTAGGCCAATAGGCCTGTTAGGATAAATGAACAAGAAAAAAGTGAAACTAAACGATACAAGCTGTTAGCATAGCTGTTAAAACAAAAAATATGTACTCACTATTGCATCTGCCTATTTCCAACACAGATATAATCTCAAAAGAGGAGACTATAACAACTTCTTGGCAAGTTTTGGTGAAAAATTTATATTTGGTGCTGATTTTAACGCAAAAAATGTCTGCTGGGGCTCAAGAATTACTACAAGGAATAAAACTGTACCAGTCTATCAGAGATCAGATATGTAGATGGCCAAACGATATAAACAAAATACCGAACCTCCTGGACTTTTTTATTTCTATAAATATTGCAGCAAATTTTATAAAGATAGAAGATGTTGAGGAACTAATATCTGATCGCTTCCAATACTCCTAACAATGAGTGAAAATAATATAACTGATTAGTCATTATGGAAAGCAGTAAAAAAAATTAACAAACTAATTCAGCACATACCTCCAGTACGAACAAAAAATGGGAAGTGTGGGCAAAAAGTTACAAACTAAAATTGATGCTTTTGCCAACTATTAAGAACGCATCTTCCATCGAAACCCAGGAGAAAGTTAAAAAATAAAAATAAATAACTCAGAGGAAATAAGTGCGATACTCTGAATCACGTCAATAAATGCTGGCGTACCACAGGGAGGTGTTCTTGGGCCAGTATTATATTTATTATACACATATGACATTTCGGAGATAGAAAATATAAAATTAGCCACATTAGCTGGTGATACAGCTGTGATACAGCTGTCTTAACCATAGGATCAACTATAGAAGAAACAATAGCCAATCTTCAAAATGGCATCAGTAGCATACAAATCTGGTCTAAACAGTGGCGCACATAAATTTACGAAGAAAAATCCGCTCACTACAACTTTACCAATAGAAGAATATATTATATACCAATAAACTTAAATAACAATAGTATACCAAATGAGGCAACAGCAAAATATCTGTGTCCAAATCATGATATTAAATTAAAATAAAAGGAGCATGTTAAAAATGAAAAGTGAACAGCTGAAGATTAAATATAGAAATATGTATTGGTTGGTAGGTAGGAAGGCACGCTTTACTTTTTACACAAAATAAATTCCTGATTTACAAACAGTATGGACATATGGCCTACAATACCAGAAAAAGCCATTTCAATTGCCTAGAAATAGTCCAAAATCGAATTCTCAAAAAAATGTAAGTTAGCCTGAGAGCAAATTAAAGGGGATCATCAGGATACCGAACTGGACCAACGTACCAATTTTTAGCTTTATTTTAATTTTTCACAAGTACCTAAATCTACTCTATTTCCTGGCTTCCTAAAATATTATTTCTACCAAGGAATTTATAAAAAAGGACTATGTCACATGCAATTTAATAAAATTAATTTCATGTTTATTCAACAAACTAAGAAAATAATTGTTCTACCGGCTTTAACTTTTACTTTGAGCAGTAGTATTCCCGAGGAATTTTGGATCATTGACCACACAGCATCTCCTGACTTTTTTTTTACTCCAAAATTAATATACAAAGAGTTCCTATTTATTTTAAAATTATATTTTATTTCAATTTTAAAATTTAACAACGTGTAATTCTTTGGGTATGCACCGATCGTTTAAGATTAACCCATTTTTTGTATTTTATGAAAAATAACATTACAGTAGGTACATATTAGAAATTAATAAGGGTGAAATTTTAAAATTTAATTATTAGGAATATTTCCCCTTATTCTGACCATTGTACGCTTTACTTTGTTTACTGCTTATGTGTACTGTCATGTGCAAATTAAATATAAAGTTGGTTCAAGGACGTTTCCTTGTGGCACTTCTGATTTTATGGGATATAATGTTGTGTAGTATGATTTAAACCTCAGGCGAAAATATCTTCCTGAGAAATACAACTTAAGAAATGTACAAAGCCTTAGGTAGGTTTTCTTGAGCTTATATATTATTGCAATCCTAGATGCCAAAAGCTTTTATTAACATATATTTTGCCTTTAAGAAAAGTTCAAATATTAACAAATTTAGTGTGTACATATTAAATCAATCTCTTAGTCCAAGCGGTGGGTGGTTTCTATTCGCAAAAGGTCGGAAAGATAAAATTTGGTGGGATAGTAGACATGGGTCCCCTGATACTACACCTAAGTTTCCGTTCGAGGGGTAGGGGGATGAAAACTCTGCGTCGCGACGCTTTTAGGGAAATAGCGCCGTGTTATCGAAAAAAGTTCAAATGAAATATGTACAGTACAAAAATCGTGCACAATTTTGACCTTTAGAGCGGAAACTAAAATAATTGTGCACGATTTTATTGTGTACATATTTTATTTGAACTTTTTTTCGATAGCGCTATTTCCCGAAAAGCGTCGTGACGCAAACTTTTCATCCCTCCACCCCTCGAGCGGCAACCCCCCGAGGTCGCAAACTTAGGTGTAGTATTAGGGGACCCATGTCTACCATCCCACAAAATTTAGACCCCCTTATTATTTACCCACCGTTTGGACTATCAATAAAATTTGCAGCAAAAGATTTAAAAAAATTAAATATCTATTACTGCATTCTACAAATTCTGATATTGGTTAAAATTAATGGACTCTCCCGACTACTTTTGTTTTCGTGGGTCACTCCACGGTATTTTTTAATAAGTTGCTATAATGTGTGGATTTCTTTCTTTTTTGAATTCGTAACACCTATCTTTATATTTCTAAGTTAAAAATATACATACCAAAATCTTCCAAATCCTTAACTGTAATAAAGAATAAAAGGCATTTATTATAATTATAAAACTGCTATAATAACGCTTAAGTATATTTTTGATGCAGTATTTCAATGCATCAAAATTGTAAAAAAACAGGAACTTACCTAATTTCACTTGTTCGGCCAGAACTACGGTATCTACTGTAAATGTATTTATTTTTATATTAATACGGACATTATACAGGGTGTTTCCGAACTTGGCGTCCAAATTTGTAGGGGTGGTAGTTCGCATAATTTGAGACCGATTCGCAGATTTCATTTTTCCAAAATATTTAAAATAAAAATAATTAAAAATCGGCTACGTCTTTCGATACCGGCCGGGCGGAGGGAGAAATTTGCAAATCGCATCTGTTTTTGAGTTGTAAATCCCGATAAGTAACCGATCAGGCGACTACTGCGCTACGCGCTCAGGGTAGGACCCGCTTTTTGATTTTTTTTATAATGGCTCTATTTTGTTTATTATAATTTTTTTAGAAAAACGAAATCTGCCAATCGTTCTCAAATTATGCGAACTACCAACCCTACAAATTTGGACGCCAAGTTTGGAAACACCCTGTATTTAAAAGGCATAAGTAGATTTGTTGATAGAGCAATTCTGTTTTAACTGTGTATAGAAGTCATTAAAAAAACACATTTTTCAAATAACTTTTTCAAAAAAATTCAAAAATAAAAACTTACATTAAAATATATCCAATACAATACTGATAATGTGTTCAAAGTTTTCACCATTCACTGAAGTGTTCAAACACACTGTAAACCGTTTACTGTTCATTCTATACAACACCGATTAAGCACTTTAATGCATATGCATCTTAAAGACACTCGTTATAAATAAACAACATATTATTCTCAAGTTTACTCTTTTCATATAAAATTCTACTGAACAGTGAACACCGAAGTAAATTACTTTGACCGCCAAGCGTATGATTCACGATAAGAACAAAAAAGGTATGAAGATAAAAACGAAAACATTTAGCTTAATTTTTGATACACAGGCCCTGTTATACATTTTTTATGTGTCTCTTGTTTATTTGAAAAAGATTTTTACTTTAACGACGTCTATACACAGTTAAAACAGCTGTCAATTTAGGATTCACCTGGTTATCTCTGGGATTCACCCATATACTAATTTTAATTTTTTAATTAAATCATAAGTACCTGCTCCGGTTGTCTTTTCTTCTGCCTCTAATATAATAAAATTTGGAAAATTAGTATATAATTATGATCGTGAAAAAATACTCACCTAATTCTGCATCAAGTTCTTTAAGTGCAAGCACTATAAAAAAATTATGATTCGATTATTCAAAATTTAAATAGAGAATGAGAAACATAATTATTTAAAAGCACGTTAAAATATACATACGCATTGTTGCCACGTCATTTGAAGATAAGGCACTTACTGTAAAAAAACAACAAATTTAATACCTTTTTCTGTATCAAGATTAGAAATTCAAAGATTGTCACTTGTAAGCATTTACGCTGTTGTCCACGTAGTTACTAAATGATTATGTTATTATGACAAAGTACGGGAGAGTCTTATTACAAGGATTAATTAGGGTTATATTTCGAAATTGACTTAAGGCTCTAAAATGTACAAAAAGCTTTAAAAATTACATTAAGGAAGTATATTTGCATTTTTAATGCTAGTTATTATCTATTTTATTTAATGTATTTTTCTGATTGCAATTATGATTGTAGCCTAAGGTGATTTACAGGAAAATACAGCATTTAATTTACAATTAGGCAATGGTATAAAGCAGAAATCATAATTGTATGAGTTGGTACATTCATATAACATGTTTTCGTACTTCAAATAAACAAGCTCGCACAAACCACCCCTACTCAATTTATTAGGCGTCTCGTTCTTTCTAATGCTGCAGTCAATGCGACAGCTCTGTCTGCCTAACATAAAACTTAATCTGAATACTTTCAATAAATAAGGGCTTTTTAATGAATAAATGTATTAGTCTAGTAATTTTTCATCGTTGTTTATATCGCATAAGAATTAAAAAAATGCACTTTAAAAGCTCTGTGCCTTATTCATCTTTTTAATTTTATTAAAGCATATTATTAACTCCAATTTTATTTGCTATACCCTGTGTCCCAGATTGGTGCTGCATGTATTGCTATCTCGGTTTTTATAAGAGTTACAAAATCGGTTAAATGGGCAATGTTTCTCAGGATTCTATTACCATTTCAGAACTGCTATTACATTTTGTCAGTTATTTTGGTTATTAGAATAAATCGCGAAAAACCGAAATGGTGGGTTTTTGACAGTCCTTCGTATGTCGATTCCTTCGTATGTCGATTATTTGAGCACATACGGTATTGTCGTCGAGACATTCTATGGGCACTTTTTTAAAGTCTTTTCAATAAAAAATAAATCAAAAGAATTTCTCCTTCCGTTTTCGAGATATTAACTATTACTTTGTTTTTTCTTACGGACGCCATGTTGGATTTTTATTGCACTAAATAGAATTGTTAATTCCCTTTTTAAAAATGTATCACAACATGGTACTTTTTTTCAAATGAATGCTAAAATAAACAAATCTAAAAATTTCCTAATTAATTTTGCTGCTCTGCTCAATTTGGTCTAGTAGGCGAGCCTTAAATAGGTTCTATAACTGTCAAATTATAGTTGGTTTAACATTTTATTCGTTAATTGTTGTTTTTTTTTTGTTAAATTTAATTTCAGAAACTTACTTCGTAGCCCACAGAAACTCTACAGCGGCTGCGGAAATTTATGAAAATAAATTTCCTGAACGGCATCAACCAAACGCAAGACATTATAGGGATCTAATATTAAATTTTCTAAATTATGGAAGTTTTGAAAAACCCAGAAATCATAAATATGCTATTGAGAATGAAGAGAGAATTGTAGCTGTACACTAATAATAATCCCACAGCATCGTTTAGAAAAATTGGTAATGAAACGGATATCCCTAAGTCGTCATCAGTTCATAGAATACTGGACGCTAATAAATATCATCCATACAAACCTAGGATTGTACAAGGTTTATCGGCAAATGATTTTTCCCGAAGAGTAAGATTTTGTGAATGATACATTCAACATATGCGAGAAAATGCCAACTTTTCCATGAACATATTATGGATTGACGATTACCAATTGCGGAGTTTTCAACAGGCCTACTACCCATCACTGGGCTATAGAAAAGCCAATACTCACCTCACAAAGAAGATTCCAAACAAAATTTGGATTTAATGTTTGGTGCGGCATAATAAGCAAGTATAAAATAAGATTTACGTTTAAATATGAAATCATTGAAATTCTTACTTCCAGAAACTCAATTAATTGGACCAATAATTTTTAATTTCAATTTAAATGCAGCACGATATCTTCAGCTCTTACAAGAACAAATAATGCCCGCTGTGAGGGCATCTGTGAGGAACTTGGATCGAATTTGGTATATGCATAATGCCGCCGTTGCAAAGAATTATTTGGAAAAAAACTTCCTCAATAGGTTAATTGCGAATAATGGCGACATTTTGTGGCCTACTAGATCACCTGATATAAATCCCCTTGACTTCTTCTTATGGGGACACATTAAAAACGAAACTTACTTGTTTGAAGCTCCCGAAAATATTGCAGTTTTAGAGGAGTCCGAAACGCTATGGGTGCAGTGAATAAAAACACATTATTAAGGGAAATAAACTCTCTGCAAAATGATTGTCAAATGTGTTGTGATCAAAATAGTGGCCACATAGATCAATTTTTTTAAATTAGACAGTTTATATCTGTCTCAAAAATTATCACAAAATCCTTGTGTTTATATGGTTTTTTAAATTAAACCGACTATAATTTGACAGTTCTAAAACATATTGTTGGCTCGCCTACTAGACCAAATTGAGCAGAGCAGCAACATTAATTAGGACATTTTCAGATTTGTTTATTTCAGCATTCATTTGAAAGAAAGTACCATGTTGTGATACATTTTTAAAAAGGGAATTAACAATTCTATTTAGTGCAATAAAAATTCAATATGGCGTCCATTATAAAAAACAAAGTTATAGTCAATATCTCAAAAACAATAGAAGATAGTCTTCTGTTCTATTTTTTATTGTAAAGACCTTAAAAAAATGGCTATAGAATGTCTAGACTAAAATACTGTATATATTCAAATAATCGAGATACGAAGGACTGTCAAAAACCCACCATTTTGGTTTTTCACGATTTATTGAAAAACCAAAAATAACTGACAAAATGTAATAGCTGTTTTAAAATGGTAATAGAATCCTGAGAAACATTACCCATTTAACCTATTTTGTAGCTCTTATAACAACTGAGATAGCAATACATGCAGCACCAATTTGGGACATAGTGTATAGTCCTTTACCACGTATATAATTTAATGTTTAAAAATACTAACTTAAGGCATCTTCATTGTTCAAAACCATTTCTAGATCCGCCATGTCTGTAGATGAATAGGTTAGTTCTGTAAGTAAAAAAAAAACAATGAAAATAAGTATGTACCACAATAAAAAACCCTTTAAGATATACCGTGTGTCCAAGCGAAAACTTCTGATTGCTTTATTTGTGGTAAAATGTAAGTAGGAAACTTCAATTTTTGGAATATGAGACATTTCACAGGATATCGTAAGTCCAGTTACTTTTGATCCCACTTCCCCTTAACCCTTCGCCGCAAGCTACTTTTAAGTCAAAATTTTTAATGACATCCTTTTTTGAGCACATTCATAATAAAAAAGTTATTACATGTTATAAAAACTTTCTGGGATATTTTAATTTAAAATTTGGATAGAATATTTCTATCCACTGCTAAAACTCAAGCTACCCATGGATAAATGTAAGTGGATTTATGTCACCCTATGCACTGTCATCCTCTAAAAATTCAAGATTTTGAACTTAAATTTTACCCCTTCTGAATAAATATACATAAATGGAGGCTCGATCTTTGCAGAACTTTTGACCTTCCCTATGTCATATATGTTGGATGTAAGTTGGCACAAGTTGGTACAGGTCAGTTTTTCCTTTAGCTTCTCAACAAAAAGTCTAAGAAAAATTAGATGATATGGTATCTCAAGACTTCATCGTATCAGTCACAGAACCAACTGACTGGGTACACTCCCATTGTTAGTGTTGCCAAACCTAATGGTGATGTAAGAGAAAATTTATAAGATAACACAAGACATTTTCTTTTCTAAATTAACAGGTAATTAATTCTTTTCCCTCCTGCTAGATGCCTCTTCTGCATTCTTGCAGGTTCTCTTATCTGAAGAAAGTTTGATTCTTTGCACTATTTCTAGTACCTTTGGCAGATATCGGTATAAAAGACTTCCTTATGGCTATTGTTCTGCTCTGCACCAGACATTTTCTCAAGTTTAGTTAGGTTAGATGGTGTAATACACTACGTTGATGATATCTTTGTATATGGCCATACATTTGAGGAGCATAATTTAAACTTAAAAAACGTTTTGAAGAGAATTGAAAAACACGGTCTAAATTTACAAAAATCCAAAATTATTGGCAAAACAAAACTCAAATTCTTAGGTCATGCTATAAGTGACACAGGCATATCCCCTGATGAAAATGAGACACAGGCCATTAAATAAATGAAAAATTTTACAACGTTTTTTGGGAATGACACTTGTCTTTCAAAATTTAAACCTAATTTATATCAGGAAAACAGTAATCCCAGAAGTTTGTTGAGTGAAAAAAATAAATGGCAATGCACTGAATCACATGATAAATGTTTCTGTCATCTTAAAACTCTATTGTCTTCAGTCGTTGAATTAACATACTTTAAACCAAATCAGGATGTAACTCTATCGGTGGATGCTAGTTCATTTGCTATAGATGCTGTTATCATACAAAATAATCACCCCATAGAACATGCTTCGGTCTTCTTGACCCCTGCACAACAAAGATATAACCATATAGAGAAAGAATTAAAAGTAATTGTGTTAGGATGTGAAAGATTTAACTATTATCTATACAGTCGTAGCTTTAACATCGAAACTGACCACCGTCCACTTTTAGGGCACCTCTAAAAAATCTTTAGATGATCTATCCTTTAGGCTCGCTATAAGGCTTGTAAGATATAAATTTACATTATACTTTGTTCCTGGTAAAAATTTTTATATTTTCAGATACTCTTAGTCGAGATCCCACAGATTGTACAATAAACACTGATTCTTGGATTTAGATCTCAAGGTGTTTTGACTATTATTTGCAACGCCTGAAAATAAAAAAAAAGGCTCCAAAAATCAATAACTGAAGATCCAGCATTGCATAAAGTCAAGTATTACACTCTATTTGGTTGGCCCAAACATAAGAAAAATGTCCCGTCAACAGTTAAAAATATTGGGAAATAAGAAATAATATAAAATATATTTAAACGACAGCAATTTATTTTATAAAATCGACTTATAATACCAGAAGCTCTCAGACTCGAATTCTTAAACTTCTTGCATAGCTATTATCAAGGTAATGTAAAAAGGTAGCCCAAAAAACAATTAACTATCCTGGACTTTAATCTGATTTAGAAAAATTTGTACTCTCCTGTATCACATGTCAAATGTACTCTCGTAGCAACCAAAGAGAACCATTGACACCACATAAAGTAGTCGATCTTCCCTGGAAAAAATGGGAGTGGACTTTAAATCTCCTAGGCTCTCAAAATTTTATAACTGTTGTAGACTACTTTAGCTCCTATGAGTTCAAGAATTTCGCCGAAAATTATGACATAAAATTAATGGCTGAAAGAATGACACAAACTGTCAAAGGGCTACTAATCAAAGCTATTGAAACGAGATCCTTTTCTCGCTGTATTAAACTACAACACTTCCCCTAAGCAGATGCTTCCAGCTCCTAGTTCTTTGTTACTGGGACGAAGAACGATACTCCCTACTAGCCTTAAACTTTTCAAACCAAAATATCCTATAAAAGATGTGCCTCAAACATTAAAAAATCAGCAAACTCAACAAAAGAAATATTTTGATAAAAGCACAAAGAAACTGCCATCTCTAGATTCTGGAAAGAAGGTACTAGTTTAGGAGAAAACCAGAGAATGGAAATCGGGTACTATTATTTGAGAAATTCTTTTAGGATCATAACTTGTATAAGTTTGTTAATGTCCTTGAGTGAGTGCGTATTATTAGTTTTTGGATTTCCAAAAGTGTCACACCATATGCATTTGGCTGGTCTTAGTTTGTTGTGGAAAAATCCACACAGTAGGTGTTCGCTGTACATGCTTAATTTGTTTGGGTATTTCTTTTTAATGCATGTCATCAGTCCTTTTATTTTATTATTCATAGAGAGTAGTTATTTTTTTCTTTTCGGACATGTTCCTCGTATGAACGTTTTCCCATGTATTTTGGGACATTTACTCAGTAATTATTATGTTCTTCCCGAACCCAATCTTTCCAGAAAACTTTTACTCTACTTTTCAGGTGCCGGTGTTTCTTCTGGCCCTCTTTTTGCAAGTTCGTCAGCCTCTTCGTTGCTCTCGATTCACTGATGATCAGGCATAAAAATTACCCAAATTAGTCCACTTCGGAAAACATTGATTCTGTACATGACAAAATATGATTTTAGCATATTCACTAATTGGACGTGTTGTTTAACATCGTTCATCACGTCTTGAATATAAGACTGTTTTTGGCCAAATGGATTTGGAGATGCCTGAATGCTGATCAGAAGCGCTTTCGGTTGACAACGTCAAAAAAAATCTGCCGTCGTTTAGAGTACAATTCTTAAAATTTTTGTATTAGCTAGATACTATGGACTAAATGTTGGACCATCACTATGAAAAGCGCAGCAGAAAACTTGCCGAAGATGTTCTCTTTTTCCAACACAATGCCGTTGATTACGATGCAAAAATATATGAGATTGGTTTTCAATTGCTTAACTATCCGCTCTATAGGTCGTTTGCAGACCAAAGCAAATGTAGAAATTGTGTAAGTGTTAATTGGGATCGTGTTGAATAATTTAAATTTAAATTTGTAATATTGTAACGTTTTATATTCTGATCAAACGGAGCCTGCCACCCGAAGCGATCAACCTTCCTCAACCTCCCTCAACTTAGACAACCTCACAAGAGAGAAGTGGGAGAATAAAAGAAAGAGGTGAAGGAAGTAGAGGAGCACCATCGCTCCATCTTCTCGATCCCCCTCTCACCACTCATCGGCGAGGGAAGCTCCCCTCAAAAAAGAATCCAAACGGAAGCATGGACTCAGTGAAGCAGGGGTTCGGTGGTATCTTCGCTACCTCGTTCAGGGCATGGCACCGGAGAAAGCGAAAAAGAAAGCTGTGGAGCACAAATTCCAGGGAGAGGGAAGTAAAACCAATCCTAAGGATCTGAAAAGAAAGCGGGACGGAAATAACACCACACCATCGCAAAGGAAAGCAGATCGCAATCTTACCTAAGAACAGATGTTTCCTGGATGGGAGCATAAGCTCCAATTCGGAGGCATCCACTTCCAGCCAGGAATGATCTTAATCGACTGTGAAACCCGACATTCAGCAAAAAATCCCACACCTGAGCAACTGGAAGGGAGTGGAGTTGGAGGTATGTGCAGGAGACGACATCCCAAAAGCACATACAGCCACGCTCTTTCTCCCAAGAAGTTAAGGGCAGCCTGTAGAGAAGCTTCTACAGTTAATAGAAGCGCAGAATGTGGGGCTATCGACCACACTGTGGAAAATCGTCAGCCAAAAAGACGAGGGCAAATGCCAGATCCTTAGAATAGGAATAGATGACCTATCCTGCCAACGGATCATGGATAATGGATGCACTATCCACTATCGATTCGGGAAAATCCCCGTACACGGCCTTCAAAAAAAAGAGGAAATAAAAGAACTGAGAGAAACAATAGAACCAACTCCTAGTACTTCCAAAGATGAGACTGATGTGGAGAGGCATAGAGAGCCTTAACCTCTCAAATCTCAGCGTAGACTCATCTGAGGATGTAAAAATTGATGAAGCAGAAGAGGGGGATATGGAACTCACCCTCACCGACGGGGACAACACCCCCATTAAAGGAGAGTAAAATAGCGGGCATCGACATCGCCCAAGTGAATGTCCATCACACCAATGAGCCTCGGCTGTGATCTTCAGGACATTCACTAAAGATCAATTAGGGATCGTACTGATCCAGGAACCGTGGGTCTATGGAAACCAGGTAAGAGGACTTGCATGTAAGAATGCAAGGGTAATTTATCACACTAGTGATGAAGTACCCAGAACATGCATAATGGTAAGAAGTAATATTAAATATTCTTGTCTTTCAGAATTCATGACGCGTGATCTCGTTCCAATTCGAGCATACCTGGAATTAGGGATGAGGCGGCAAGACATAGTAATAGCTTCTAGTTACTTCGCCGGAGATGGGCATGTACCACCCCCCAGAAGTATCGAGGCTAGTGGAGTACTGCCAGAGAAGACATCTGCCATTACTTCTTGGATGCGACACCAACTCGCAAAGCACCGCATGGGAAAGCAACGACACCAATAAAAGAGGTAAGCAACTTCTAGAATATACTTTTAATAAGAACCTTATTGTGCAAAATATTGGGAATACTCCAACCAGAAGTGAGGTATTAGGCATCACATTAAGCACACCGATCATTAAAGATCTAGTTAAAAACTGGAGGGTATCGAGTGAACCATCTCTATCTGATCACAAGATAATTGTGTTTACGTTAGAGAGCGACATTCTTGAAACGATTCTCAGGAGGAATCCTATTAAACTATACTGAGACAAATACAACACCATTCTAAAACAAAATTTAGCACGTATCCAGAGAAAAAAGGGGCCCGGACACCCACTAGCTCAGGAAAGCGATCTCGAAGAACTAAATGGGGCAATACTTGAGGCATATGAATCAAATTGCCCCATTCAAAGAAATAGAACTAGTAGGGATGCTCCTTGGTGGAACCGTCATCTGTTTAACTTACGATCCGAAGTGCGGAAGCTCTATAATAGGGCCAAGCACAGTGGAGATTGGCATAGCTACACCGAGCCGCTCACTACCTACAACAAAGAAATCAGGAAAGCTAAACGTAACAGCTTTAGAGGATATTAACTCTACACCTGCGGCAGCGAGACTGCACAGGGCCCTGGCAAAAGGGAGAGTTGATACAGTTATGGCATTAAAGAAACCAAATGGAAGCTTCACGGAGAGTGAGGAGGAAAGAGCTCGCCTCTTACTCGAAATTCACTTTCCTGGAAGTACACCTTTTCTAATAAGGGACACAACTAAGGTAAGCAGGCCTCCAAGAGAGGCCGCTGTAGTGGCCAAAAACATATGCAGCAGAAATCAGTTAAAGTGGGCCGTAAACACTTTTGAACCGTTTAAGTCTCCAGGTATGGATGGAATATTTCCTGCCCTGCTTCAGCAAGCACAGGAGGAATTACTACCACACATAATCCGGCTATCCCGGAGCAGTCTGGAGCTGGGATATATACCAGAAGCATGAAGAAGGGCTAGAGTCACCTTTATTCCAAAAGTAGGGAAAAAGGATACCACACATCCTAAATCCTTCCGATCAATCAGCCTCATATCCTTTGTATTAAAAACAATGGAGAAGACTGTTGATAATTATATTAGAATGGAAGTCCTGGAGAGGGTGCCACTCCACCACAGCCAACACGCGTACCGAGCAGGAAGATCTACAGAAACTGCCCTGGTACGTTGACTGACGTAATCCAGGATGCACTGATAAAGAAATGGTCGTATGTGCCTTCCTAGACATAGAAGGAGCTTCTGACAACACGCCACACGAATCTGTAAAAAGAGCACTTGTATACAGAGGAGTAGATAACATCACATCCAGATGGATGGCTCAGCTGTTATCTACGAGAACTGCAGAGATACAGATAGGGCAGGACACCATCTACATCTGCACAACCAGAGGATGTCCACAAGGAGGAGTTCTATCCCCACTAATGTGGAGCCTAATCGTAGACGAACTTCTATGCAGATTGACTGATCTCGGCATACCCTGTCAAGGTTATGCCGACGACATAGTCATATTTGCTAGTGGTAAGTTTAGTAATATCCTGTGTGATATAGTTCAACGAGGACTAGAACATACCAAAAGATGGTGCCGTGAAGTGGGACTAGTATAAACCCTACAAAAACAACACTAGTAGCCTTTTCAAGGAAAAGAAACTTAATCTCAAAACCGTTAAATTAGACGGGATAGATATAGAATGGAAAAATGAAGTCGAATGTCTAGGCAGGGTTAGGCCTAGATATTTGACAACAAACTTTTCTGGAACACACATGAGAAGGAAGTAGTAAATAAGACCACAAAAGCCCTAATGGTATGCAGAAACATTGCAGGTAAACGATGGGGATGTAACCCAAACATACTGCGATGGATGTATACTGCAATAGTGAGACCAATCATCACTTACGGGGCTATAGCCTGGAGTAACAGAACTAGTTTAGCTACTACGAGAGCTAATATCTCAAAAGTACAAAGACTAGCCTGTGTTTGCATTACTGGTACAATGAGAATCTGTCCTACGGCTGCGATGGAGGTGAACTTAAACCTCACCCCTCTACATTTGATGATAGAGAATGTGGCAAAGAGGACACGATATAGAATGATCAGGAATGGAGTAATCAGACGAAAGTCTACTTGCTTCAGGATTAAAGATACCTGAGACATGCCCCAGGATAAAATGCTAAAGAAGTACAGTTTTGTAAAAAACTTCAAAACCACAGAGCTGGGCTGCAAGAAAGAATGGAGCCAAGAATCCATCGCGCTTGCAACTGAAAGACGTGCTATTCAGTGGTATACGGATGGTTCCAAAACCATAGAAGGAACTGGAATAGGAGTGTATGGGCCGAGAACCAAGCACTCCGAAAGCTTGGGAAAATACCCAAGCATCTTCCAGGCGGAAATTCACGCCATCGAGAAGTGTATCCAGTTTAACATCGAGAGAAACTATCATAGACAAGAGATTATCATCATGTCCGATAGTCAAGCAGCCATCAAAGCGCTGAGCTCTTACGTAATCAGCTCAAAAATGGTCTGGAGATGCCTAGAACAATTAAATGAGCTAGGCGAGAAAAATAGAGTTACTCTCACTTGGGTCCGGGACATAACGAGGTACAGGATAACGAGATTTCAGATAGTCTTGCAAGGAAAGGGACTCAAACACCCTTTGTAGGACCTGAGCCGTTCTGCGGTATCAGAAGTAACATAATATTAGGAGAGATTAAAAAATAATTGGGCAGTAGAAGAACCGATAATTGGAACAATCTCTTGGGGCTGAGACAGGCCAAGATACTTCTGGGCCAATATAACCAGAAAAGATCGGAAGCCTGCATCTGCCTGAGCAAGAACAGACTATGTATTGTAACAGGGATCCTTACCGGGCATTGCCGACTAAAAAGACACCTAAGTAAACTGAGAGTAGTAGTGGATAGTGAGTGCAGATTCTGTGAGGAGGAGAAAGAAACCTCCATAACTGAATGTGTAGCATTCCAGAATCCAAGGGCACTATATATAGGAGGATATCAAATAGAAGAGGGAGATTTACCTAATTTGAAGCCACTTCAAATCCTACACTTCCATGAGAAAATAGGATTAGAAGGGTCGTTATAGGCATTGAGACATTTCCTTAGTGCATTGGCGACAGAAGGGGGCACAATAGACCTTTTATGTCGCAGTGTATTAACATCCCATTCTCAACATAACATAACATAACATAACGTTTTATATGATATTCTATGTATTATCAATACTATCTTGTATGTGATTTATTTAGGGAGACAAGAATAAATAGTCACTACTTACCCTCATCAGGATCAACTTTTGAAAGGGCGTCTTCGATGCTATTAACTATAAACAAAACATATTTAGAAACAACGCACATATCTGTCTACAGTTTAAATGCTTATAAAATTTGGATCAAAAAGCAAAAATGTTCCAAAAAATGTTTCTAAAGGAGGGCATAAATCGTATCTACAAATCTTCTAGTTTATTTAATATTTTCTAATAAAATTTAGGAGTTACTATTACCACTCACCAGAATTGTGTAGTATCCGTATACAGAATCCGGATTGCTTTATAGGTATCCGGGTATTTTCAAATTTTGTATCCATAACCAAATTTGTGAGTATCCGGATATTTTTTCGTTATTCGGATACTTTTAAACAGTGACAAGTCGTGACCAAAAAAGTTTCAAGGCCAACCACTTCTCGCCCGTGAGACGAGTTTTCGGTTATCGAATATATGCATCTCTCTCTATCGAAGCATCGAAAAGACCAGATCCGTCTGAACTTCACTAGAGGTCGGACGATCTCAATTATAAAACCGACTATTTTCTCACGGTTTATCTCGAGAGGATTCAAACTCCCCTAATCATTTTAAATCTCACTGGCTTTAAAATACTGTTTTTACGTTGAAGTATATAATTTCTCATGAAATTCTTGAGATAATTCATTTTCTCTCGAGTTTTAAAATAGCCCCCCATGGTACCTATTTTTCTCTTAAGATTTTCATGAGACATAATAATAATACTCTCCCTAATTCACCCCCTTACGAGTGAATTTTAACCCCAAAAGCTGAGCTTGTCCGGGGAAAGGGACGGCTATTATTATTATTTGCCGTGGCGCTCCGGGGCGACTTAAAGATGATTGATGGTGCCATTTGACTTACAGGTGAGGAAAACCCTGAAAACCTCATCCACCATCATCGAGACGGTAATGTATGGCGAATTTTTTTAATCTGCATGTCATATCAACAGAAATTGAATTTCTATTAATACGCCACACATCAAATCCTAAACCGAACCATGCAATTTAATTAAAAATCCACATAGTCTGGTCTGGGATTCGAAACCCAGCAGTCTCAGACTCATAAACTTGCCTATAAATGAATATAAGCGCGATAGACCGCTACACCACCGTGCCCGACATGTCATACATCAACGTGGAAACAGTATTTTTAAAGCCAGTGAGAACTAACTGACTGTTCTTCTCGGTTTCTCTGTTTTAAAGGGAGAATTAAAATTATTTTTAAATCTCCCTGGCTTTCAAAATACTGTTTTCATACTGACATATGAGATTTCTTCATGAAAAAGGCTATCACACATTGAGGTAGTATCATAGGCAGATGCGATCACGTGGTGAAAAGCGGCATCATTTCGCCATATTGATGCGACACTTGCACTGTGATTTAATTGATATGATCAATTTTCCTTTTTTTTTCTCTGCTCTTTGTGTGATATTTAAATAATATAGTTAAACACAATAATTGTTTCATGTGCTCTTCGCAACTGCACTAGCAAAAATGCAGTTCATAAAAAGAAATAGATAAGAATAACATTTCATACAAGTATACAAAATGATAACAATAAAAACAATAAAAATTTATTTTTATATTTTACTTATTTAAATAGTTTCTTGGATAAAATATTTTACGGTACTTGTTTTATATACTTACGGTTTTCTATTATTTTAATATTGTTTATAAATTCCATGCTGTGCAAGAGTTTAATTTTTTCCACAACACAAACTGCAGAAAACCGTATATGAAACTGTTACATATTTAAACCTAAAACGAGGGCCCAAATAACAAATGTTTTCCTTTCAGATTTTCTAAAGGTCCTGCACGTCAAAATGTCTCGTTGCAATTTGTTAAAAGAAACCCTGGAAAACCTATAAAACACATTGTTTAAAGCTATACATTGACCGAATATCAAGTTATGTTTGTTTAAAAGATAATGCTGTTCCTACTCTTAATCCTGATGTAAATTGTAGTAGTTTATATTACAAGTTGCTAAAGTTAAAAAAAACACTGTTTGGTCATAAGTTATATACAATTTTTTATCTTTACTTAAATATTGATGTAAATTTAAAAAAAAGGTTTTTTTTAAGAAAAAACAAAGAGATTAATTTTTTTTTTTCAGAAGCAATATTTTTCCTAGACAAAAGAGGAAACTTAATCAACGTCAAAATCAACGTCAAAATTTTCTGGCTGTTCGGTGTCGTGTATAGATACAGTTTCAAAAGTATCTGACAAAGAATTGTCGGTATTATAAATCAGATGATCTACATTCATGTCGACTGTAGCTATGGAATCTAAGTATCGCTGAGTTCAATGTAAGTTGTACACACAGTATCAACTATGCTAGTAATAGTAATAGTACCTATGCATATGTCTATGTATTTTGGTTGCACTTTGGTTTAATAATTTATTTCGCTTAGACGTATGCAATCCGCCATAAGTGCTTAAGCTTCTTTCATACGCCGCTAATGTTGCTGGTAGATGAAGAAAATTTGCAGCTACTTTTGAAAGCTGTACAGAAGACACTGTAGTTTGATTTGTCGTCCGTTTTAAATTTATCTCTCGTGAAAGAAAACATTGTTTTACTGGAAACATAACGACAAAATCTCGTATTTTTGGAAAGTTAACAACTAAAACCGTGCAGCTAAGGTGTCGAAAGATGATTTCTAATAAAAATCTTCCATTTTTCTTGTGTCGGAAAGTATTTTGGTCCAACCTTGGAGTTCGTATGTTGCTATTAAGACACTTGTCATAAATTGTTCTGTTTAATATTTTTGTTAAAAAGAAGAAAGTTTTTTTTAAATTTAAAACAATTTTGAATGCATTTTTGTATCACAGAAGGTAAAGAATTTTGTTATTTTAGAAAAGTAATTTCATTTCATGTGTTAAAAGCACATTTTTGTTCTTCCAAAACAATTAGTAAAATTACTTTAGTGTATAAGATAATACATTTTTCTTTTTTAGGAATGTGTTTTTCTATCTATTTTATTTTGTTTCAATCTTTAAAAAATGCATTGCCTATTAATATGACCCTAGTTAATAGAAAAAAAATATATTATTCACAATATATTAAAATTCTTATAATTTTAGAGAATCAGAACCTGGCAAGGCATCTATGTTGTTACGACTCTAAGCCACGCCTAGCGTGACGTTTTATTTACTTGCGAAATAATGCTTCTAGCGCCTCTTTATAATACTACCTCAATGCTATTACATAATAAAGATTGCCTGAAGGGTAATAAGGTAGAAATAGATATAAAAACTGAACATTTGTTGTAAGTAGTGTATAATGCGTTGCCTATACAGTCTGTTCGCTATACTTACTCGGGTTTCGGATTAAAAATTGTATGAGTATTTCCAGGTAAGTACCCAAAAATTTGACCTGTTCTTTGGGGAAATATCAACTGGTTAAATGAAATGAAAAATAATGTACAACTTTTTAATTAAATAATAATGGAGAATCTTTTGTATAATTGAGAGCATAATTAAACTTCTTTATTAATGGAGTCTAATGTGGCTATTATAAACCTAATAATAATTTTATATTACACTTCACACAGAAAATACGGTCTATGTATAATAAGAGGGTTATTTAGCTCAAAAAAAATTTTTTCTAACATAAAAATTTGTTTCATGTAGAGAATTTCAAATGAAAAATAAAAAAATTGAACTTGCCAACATAAATGAAAATCAGTCATTATCATCCACAATATCATAATCGTCATCATCATCACTGTCACCACCATTAATTGTTATTATGATTGGATTTCGTTTATTTTATTTTCACGAGTCCACCAATCTTCTATTAGTTTCTCGCACTTGGATATACAGTTCCACCACACTTCTGGAGTTGCAATTGAAAGTGCTTTTCGCCAAGTTTTCCGAACTGCGTCGTCACTATAACCATTAGGCCCAATATGGTTGTCATAATATTGTTTTGCTATTCCTCATATATATTCGATGGGATTAAACTGGCAATGATATGGTGGCAGACGTAAAACTTGATGAACGTAGCTTTCAATAATCTGATCCACAACAAAGGTTTTTGGTTTTGCGTGTATATTTGCCAAGCGTAATAATTCTGATTTTAATATACTCGTATATTGAGGAAATGGTATATGTTCCTTTGTCAACCATTCTTTAATTTTATCAACAGTCCAAGAATTCGTTGGAATTTTGTTTAATACTTCAGAATGGTAAGATGCATTGTCTAAAATAATTACGCTGGGCTCACTTAAACCTGGGAGAAGTTTTTCATGCAACCATTTTACAAACATTTCTGTGTTCATATTATCGTGATAGTCACTGGATTTTGATTTAGATGAAAATATTAAATCAGCATCTTCTATAAAACCCGATTTCCCTCCTGCATGTAAAATTATGTGTCGCTTTCTTTCTCCATCGGTATGTTTGATAGACTTTACGTTATCATCTTGCCACATTCTCTTGGTTGCACCCCTAGAAAATATCCATGTTTCGTCTAAATATATAAAATTCGCCCCTTCTTCTTTAAATTTAGAATATTTTCTTAGAAAGTTAATTCTCTTGTGCACGACAGAACTTCTTTCACAACGGGCCTTTCTGTTATCCTCCTTTTAAAATTTGAAACCCTAGTTATGTATCACTTGCCATAGACTTGTTCTGCCAATGTCGTGAAATTTTCTATCTATTAATTCCGAGAGAATTGTATTTAAGGCAACATGTTCCTTGTTGGCCCTCATTCAATAAATGGTATCACGAATTTCAAATTTCTTTCCATCTGGAATATCTTTTGTTTTCAATGATGGGCGAGTTTTACGGTGATCTTCTTTCGGGCGTTCACTATTGTGATTTTGTAATGATCCTCTTAATTTGGTTTCACTAATTCCTACAGCATCGCATACGCGTTGTTGTAGAGACATTACCGATTTTAAAGGACCGCCATTTTCTTTTTCATCTGTAAAATACTTATGTACACTACAAAATGGACTATCTACATCTAACACACACCTAGGCATTTCCACCAAATTTACAATATACATACAATGTCAACACTTGCAAAGAATCAATTCAACTGCAATATTTGTAACAAATTTAGTACCTACCCTTATGTTATTTTAATTAAAATCTGACCACTAGGGCAATTTTACCTAATTTCTTGGGAAGAGGCTTATTGGAACTGGTTGTCAATGACTAATTTGCATAATTTTGTTAATCCGAAACCCGCGTAAGTATAGCGAACAGACTGTACCTACGTTAAGCCTTGGTTTCTTTGAACACTTCGTCGCGGTGAGCGGACAGTCCGTCAACCGTCGCGTTTTGACGATTTTATCCAACCAGAGTATTTAAATGGGAATGGTTTTATTGAATCCGCTTAGCTGAGCAGGACGGCGTCATGCCGCTAATTTGTCGCGAAGAGTCGGTTGATATCTGTTGAGTTTGATATCAGCGGAATCGTCGGCGTGTGCAGAGACTATATTGTTATTAATTTTAAAACAATAAGTGACAAATTTACACATACAGATGACATCATGGCTTTATTTTTAGATTTCTTTATAAAACTCAACACGAATTCAAAAAGATCTGTAGAAAGTCTAAAATACTCCCTAAATTTGGTTTCATTTCCAAAAAGCCTCCGCTGCACAGTGATATTAAAGGCACCTTCTGTATCGCGACACAAAAACAACTCATCAACTGGCTTATTGGAAACTTTGACGGTTGCAATTGCCAGTTCCTCTTATTCTTCCTCTTCCAAAAATAATAACAACGCAAACAATTTATTTGCATCCATTTTAGTACCTTTTGTTTACATTCATAATACGTAAACAGCACGTACAGGCATAGAGAAGGTCTCACTTTCTGTATTTCTTAACAAACCACCACGGGCGAAAATCGCGGTCCATAGCGGTCGACGGACTGTCCGCTCACCGCGACGGAGTGTTCAAAGAAACCCAGGCTTTAATCTTGAAAAAAGCAGTTGATGTTAACTTAAATAATATAACAAACAAAACATATTAATATATTATAGCTAATTTAATTTAGGCGAGCAAGAAAGCTGTCACTTAATATCAGTTCGCGAAAAACGTCAACTTTGCGATTGGATTTCGAAGCGTAAAAGCCTACAATGAATAGTGATCGTAGAAAAAGTTATTTCTTTATCTTAAGGGGTCAGTATTGAAAGTCAAATTTTTTGAAAAAAAAAATGCCGATTGAATCGTATGTAGTATCAAATAAAAGCACGAATTTAACATGTTTTTTCCGTTATTTTTTCTTTAACTTTTTTTAGAAAAAACACTTAAAAATTGCTGTTGCCTAACTTATATCAAAAAGTAATGCTTAGAAAAATATAAACAAAAATTGATTTCGGGGCGTGTGTAGTTATCAAGGACTCTCTGCCTCTATTGTTAATATCCTACTTTAGAAAAATTTTTTTAGATCACACTTACTTATTTGTACCTACTTACATGATCGATGAAAAGCTAGTTTTCAAACCAATCATTCTTGAATCAAATGATATCTTTAAAATATAAGAATTATTTGGTTCTATTCTTACATTAGAAAAAAAAATTCATTATTTTAAATATACAGAATAATTGAAGACTCTTTTTCAAAAACAACATATGCCAAAAAATGCCCAAATTAAGGTAACTGTAATAAACACATAAACAGAAATATTTACTATCAAATATAGATAATATGGACAAGTGTCGTTTTTTAAAGCTATTCAATTTAAAGAATTAAGTTAAATAAAATTTTCAAACCTGACAGATTATCTGCGTCATCATCGTCATCATTATCACCATCATCATCATCATCATCATCATCATAATAATCATCTTCATCATCCAATGACCATGAAATGTTTTTAAACGCATCAACTGAAAGAAATTATAAAGTTCGCATAAATTTTGCCAGAATTTAGCAACAATTTAGGCCATTAATAATGTTGATTAAAATTGTGTCAAAGCTAGAATTTTTAAAATTTTATAAAATATCGAAAAAAGAAAAATAAAACTATTGAAAAAATACATCGTAGAATATTGTATCGTATAAGAGCCTGTTTTACAAATAAATAACAAAACTGAAAGACTTACCTACTTTACCGACAGCCTTACCTAAAATAAACAATAGGTTCAAAAATGTACCTAGACTAAATTTAAAATAGGAACTTACCTAAGTGGAATTTCACACTATCTAGATCTCCTGCAAATATTAGGTAAATAAATAGTTAATTTTTTCGAGTGGCATTTTTTCAAACATCGTAATCAAAACCTCTCTTTTCAAATTCGACCAAAGCAATAAAATTGAATTTGACAAAAAAAATCACAAAAAACTGAGATATGTAAATCACAAAATAATTAATTTTTTTAGAGATAATACACAAAACTAAATAATGTGAGACTGGATTATTATAATAAATAATAATAATTATGTATATTTTTCATTTTTTAAATTAAGAGTTTACTTATATATAGTATTAAAATTGTCATTATTTTTAAAAAATCTTTCAGTACATTATTAGAGAATAGCAACATTTAATATATTATAAAGTTAGTTAAAAAATAAAACAAAAATAGTTCTTACCACCAGTGCCTAAAAACCTAGTATTTCTGACACGTCTTACTAATGTTTCATTGATCATATTGCCCACTCGCATTTTTGCTTTACCTGCGAAAAAAATATATATACATTTTATTATTTTTAAATTTCTTCACATAATTTAAGGTGATTTTAAAGCAAGCAGAGAGAGTGAATACATTCTAACCACGACTAGATGTCGATTCATGATTGCACAGGTTTAGTCTAGGAAATAGTGCTTACGATAAAAAGTTCATGTTAACCGTCTGACTCGTGGTATTTGATAAGGCTCGGAATTGTATTCGGATAATTCGATAATTCGAATATTCGAATACTCAAAATTCGATATTTTTAGATCGAAATTATTCGAATAGTCGAATAGTCGAGTATTCGAATAGTCGAATATTCGAATATTCGAATATTCGAATATTCGACTAATTGAACTAGGTATTTGATACTAGAATATTTGACTATTCGAATACTTAAATATCGGAATACTGTAAATGTTCAAATATTCGGATATATATTTTGAATTATTTATATACCTAATTTAAATTTTTCTTTTTTATCTATTGCTTAAAAATAAAGGTAGAAGAAAAATGACTAACAAAATTCTGAATTGAGATTCGGGACTAATACGTTACGCAACAATGTATTTATTTATTTCCTTGTAGTGCTGGCGTTTTATTTGCTAAATGAGGGAAACCCCAACATTGTTTCACATTCGCACTTTTCACACTCTTGTTTATGTTTGTTAAGTTATAACTTACTAGTTCATATTAGTGAGTGTATGTCTGCCAGTCAACGTTTGTCCGATACAGATGTTAAATATGAGTTCAGAACGCAGTTTACTTCGATAAAAAAGAAAATCGTGTGTAGTGTAAATTATGTACTTACAATGTCATACACAGAACTAATACCAGTAATTTGTGGAATCAATTGAGAACTAAGCATCATACCAAAATAAACAGGGATTTTCTTGTGTTGAATCATTTTCTCCATGAAAATGTAGTGAAGAAATATAAGTATCTTCAATCGATCGAAAACCTTTATCAATTCGATCACATTTTTTCACTCATAATGCTCATTTTGAACATGTTTTAATATGTATTTTGCCTAATAATTTGATAGTTCCATGCTAAAATTAGAATTTTAAGATTAGGGTCCTTGTCCTTATACATATTTCTAACCTCATTTTAAATTACAGTTCATCTTTTTTATTGTTTATAATAGTACATAATATGGAAGAGACATCAGAAATTACAATTTTAGAAGGTTTAGATGACGATAATATTAAATATTTAATATTAAAAAATTTCGAACTGATACGAATGTTGGCGTGCGCAACCGAAAACTATAAAGTTGTCAATAACTGCTGTCCTTAAACACCCACCATTAAGGACAGGCACAATCTTTATTAAAGTCAGTTCTTGAATGTAAGTGATCTGCGCATGCTTAGATGTCAAAATAAGAGCGGCACTAATAGTGACTGACCTTAAGTGAACTTGCAATAACTCTCTAATATTCACAAAAATGCAATATGATAACTGCATTAGTTAATCATTCGGTAGCCCATGTTTGTCCATTTTTTGTTTTACAAATTTCCATAAGGATCTTCAAAAAAAAATTTAATTAAAAAAGGGATTTGATGACAATTCCACTATCCGAGATTTATACGAGTTTATTTGTTATAAAAAAAATGGGCAAACATCGAAATAACGCCAAAATATTTGTGAGTTACTAAAAAATGTTTTCTGAAAATTGCCCATTTTTTTTTAAATCCTCGTCCAATAGGGGGGCTTAAACTCCGATAATAGTGCATTTATCAGATATGAAAAAATAAGTAAACATCGAAATGATTCCAAAATAATTGTAAATTGCTAAGAAATGTATTCTGAGGATTGCCCATTTTTTTATATCAAATAAAAACACAGAAATGCTTTATTGTCGGAGATTAAGTCCCCCTATTGGACGAGGATTTTTTTTTAAAATGGGCAATCTTCAGAATACATTTCTTAGCAACTTTCAGTTATTTTTGAATCATTTCGATGTTTGCTAATTTTTTTATATCAGGTAAAAACATAAATGCACTATTATTGGAGATTAAGTCCCCCTATTGGACGAGGATTTTTTTTTTAAAAATGGGAAATCTTCAGAATACACTTCTTAGCAACCTACAATTATTTTGGAATCATTTCGATGTTTTTTCGTATCAGATAAACACACATAAATGCACTATAATCGAGTTTATGCCCCCTATTGGACGAGGTTTTCTTTTTTAAATGGGCAATCCTCAGAATACATTTCTTAGTAACTTTCAATTATTTTGGAATCATTTCGATGTTCGCCCGTTTTTTTATATCAACTGAAAACACAGAAATTCAATATTAACGGATATTAATCCCCCTTATTGGACGAGGATTTTTTTTTAAATGGGCAATCCTCAGGATACACTTACACTTTTTTGGAATTATTTTGATGTTTGCCCATTTTTATATTACTAATAAAAACATATAATAGCACTATTATCGGAGTTTAAGCCCCCCTATTAGACGAGGATTAAAAAAAAATGGGCAATCCTCAGAAAACATTTTTAGTAACTCACAAATATTTTGGCGTTATTTCGATGTTTGCCCATTTTTTTAATAACAAATAAACTCGTATAAATCTCGGATAGTGGAATTGTCATTGTTGTATAAACGAACAAATATTGTGCAACAACCGAACGCACCAAAAATGTCAATTGGCAACATTGATGTTGGAGGTTAGGTATGAAAAAAGAAAGGCGAGTCTTGGCGCGTCATTGAATAGAGGTTTTCTTTGTATCTGTAAGGTGTTCAATAAAGTGTTCATAAAAGCTATGGTGTTTGAGTACTAATCCTGGGGCAAATATACAACATTTTGGCGACGAGAAACTAGAAAGAACCTGCAATAATAATAATAAAAAAAAAAGTCCAGTCGATTAAAACTTTGTCAAGTTATTCTTTGTCATTTCCAGTCAGAAATATGCCGTTTATAGGTTCAATAGAACAGTTCAAACCTAGAGAAACAGAAGTTACCACATAATAGAACGAATGGAACAATTATTCCTTTGTAATGAAGTCCAGGATGATAAAAAAGTGCCCAATTTTCTGACGCTAATAGGAGGCGTTCGGCGTACTTAAAGACCTACTGTCCCCTGACCTACCCAGCAGTCGAACATATGTACAATTGAAAAATATGTTAATTAGTCATTTTAGTCCGAAGAGGTTAGTGATAGCAGAGGGCTACAAATTTTACAATTGTCGTCAAGAAACCAATGAAAGTATAACCGAATACTTAGAGAAACTTAAAAATTATTCCAAACAGTGTCAGTTTGGGCAATTTTTAGATGAAGCTCTAAGGGATAAGTTTGTTTGTGGACTTCAATCCAAAAAAATTAAATTAAAGTTAGATACAGAAAACTTAACCTATGCAGATGCTTGTAAAACTGCACTAGGAGTAGAACTTGCTGAAGGTCAAGCTAGATCGATTAATCAAGAGAGTATAAATAAGATAGTCAAGAATCGCAGTCAAAGATACAGTACAAGTCAGAATAGTCAAAATACTAGTAATCAAAAATCGAATAGTCCTCGTAACAGATGTAGTAGATGTGTTATTACCATTGTGGAGAGCTAATCTGAATTATAGCCATGTTTCCTCAACCATAAATGTCCTTCAACCATCTAATATTTATGAAATGAAATTAAAATTTCCTAAAGTTTTCAATAAAGACAGAACTACACCTATTGAAGGTTACACAGCACAGCTTGTGTTGAAAGAAAATGCCTCTAAGATTTTTCATAGTCCATATCCTGTACCGTACAAAATCAAAGATTGAAGTAGAAAAGGAATTAAAGCTTATGGAAAAAGAGGGAATCTTAGTACCTGTACAGCGAGCTGAAATGGTTAGTCCAATAGTATGTGTTCCGAAGAAAAGCGGGGGAATCCGCATATGTGGAGACTTCAAGAAAACTCTTAACCCAAATTTAAGAACAGATTACTACCCACTACCAACATTAGATGAGATTTTTAATAAACTAAGAGGTAAGAGTGTTTTCACTATTTTAGATTTAAGTAATGCTTATTTTCAGTTAAGAGTAGACAAAAAATCTCAAGAGTTGTTAACAATTAATAGTCATTTAGGGTTGATGCAGTACACTAGATTACCTTATGGTGTGTCTAGTGCAGTAGCTATTTTCCAATCCACTATAGAAAAAGTTTTAAATAATCTTGAAGTAGGAATATACCTAGATGATATAATAATTTCTGGAAAAAATTATACCGAGTGTTTAAATAAAGTAAATAAAGTCTTGCAGAGATTAAATGACCATAACATTAAAGTTAATGAGGATAAATATGTATTTTTTGAAGAAACTGTTTGTTTTCTGTGGTATGAAATTTCCAAAAAGGGTATTCGCCCACAAAAAACTAAAGTGGAAGCTATCTGTAAAGCTCCCACTCCTACAGATATAACCCAGTTAAGGTCCTTTCTTGGCTTACTCAATTTTTATGCAAAATTTATACCCATGTTATCCACTATTAATGCTCCACTTTATAAATTGCTAAAAAAGGAAGTGCCTTTTGTTTGGGATGATACTTTTCAAAAGTAATTTGATGAAGCTAAGCATGCAATACTTAACTGTGTCACTCTGGATCATTATGATCCTAACTGTCAAATTGTTGTGGCAGCGGATGCTAGTAAATATGGTCTAGGCGCTGTACTTAGTTGTGTTAAAAATAATAGAACTCGTCCTGTTTTGTATGCCTCATGCACATTAAGTGCAGCAGAAAAAAATTATGCTCAAGTAGAGAAAGAGGCTTTGGCTTTGGTTTTCGCAGTGAAAACCTTTCACAAATTTATTTAGGGAACAAAATTCTTATTGATTACTGACCATTTGCCATTAAAAACAATATTTGGCCATAGAAATAGTATACCTACGTTGGCTCATGCCAGATTACAACGTTGGGCTATCATATTATCCACATATAATTATGAGGTAGTTTATAAAAAGGGTGTGGAATTAGCGAATGCTGATTGTCTCAGCCGACTACCATTAAAAGTATCTTCA